TGTAAACAGGATCTCCAAAATTATGGGCATCCAGGTAAAAACCTTATCTAGCGTATATCCTCCTCCTCATGAGGAAAATATATTTTATTTCTTTTCTTTTGGGGGGATTTTTTTAAAGTGTTCAATTTGGGAAACAAAAGATGAGATGCAAGCCAGGAAAAGGAAGACAAAACTAAGTAATTCTTTTCATAGTTTGTTTGGCAGCAAAAAAAGCATTTTAATCCATAGGTAGAATACTCAGGTAAGAACTGCTATCAAAGTTTAAATTAGGGGCACCTGGCTGGCTCGGTCTGTAGAGCATGCAACTCTTGATCTCGGGGTTTTGAGTTCAAGCCCCACAGAGGGTATAGACATTACTTAAAAATAAAATAATTTTTAAAAAACCGATAAAGTCTAAATTAAACATATGTAGTTTAGAGTGAATTGCACTTTAGACAATGCACTGCCACTGTTCTTTTAAAAAACACGCAATACTGGTGTAATATGATCAGAGATGAAGACAAATCATTAACACAGCAAGACAATTTTGAGAAGTATATCCTGTTCTTTCAGCTACCAAAATTTCACAAATTTTTTTACTTCTTAACAATTGACACCTTATACTAATTCATGATTGAGAGAAAAAAATCCATAGTTGATGCTCTGCCCTCACATGAGATAACCTCAAAATGTACTTGCTTTTCTTCTATTAGATTCAATGAATGAATCTTTCTGCAAAAATGCTTTAGGTAAATTTTATAGCTCTTTTTAATATATAATCTATTATCTTATAGGAAAACAGACACTCAAAATAACTTGGCATCAGAAAATCATATTTAAAATTGCTTTTTTATGTGAATAATCTAATCTCATTTCTTGTTAGATCAAACACTGTAGCTCTTAAAAAAAAAAAAAAAGATTAAGTTTTCCTGTAAAATTAGCTGTCCATCTAATTCATTTACTTTGAAGAATTCCCATCCTCGGGGAATTCATTTACTGGTACATGACAGACCAGACCTGCCTCAGACTTTCATATCTCCAGACCTTCTTAAACTACAGTAGAGTTTCGATTCGGAACTTTAGCGTGCTTTGTGATTAACACCCATTAAGCTGGAGGTCAAGGAGCAGGCCAGGCCAGAGACTAAATTTTGGCTTGAATTTCAACAAATGGAAATCCTACTTCATTTTGCCCTCTGCTCCCCAATTAAGAGCTCTGAACTTCTGTTGCAGGGGTTCACTAAGCATCATACACACTCAAGCAATGGATTCTCTCAAGTCACAGGTTCCTCCTTTCAATTGGCCTAGACTGATGCCTCAGAGAGATAGGTGGGTGTGAGAAGAAACTGAAATATAAATCAGAATGTCCATCTTCCTACAGAAAAGACTCCTGACCTAGTAAGGCTTTCCCTCTCCACATAAATCCTCAAGAATGGGCAACACTAAGTAATCAATCCGCTTTCTTTGCCCATTGGCCTACCCACAATGGCAGTGCAGTAGAAATACTTGAGAAAAAAGAGGGGAAAAATAAAAAAGGTAGAAAGCCATCACTTTGAGGAGTAAAACTGCTGGAGAAGGAAGCAACCTGAAGGAGTCAGATGATGGCAACCAGCCTTGACAGCAGTTAATTTATCACCACAAGAAGATGTTGGCGAGTTAAGCACAGTACTGACGTGTACAAACTCCAGGCACTAGACTCAGCCTAAAATTCGTCAGAAAATGGTAATAATTGGGGACCACACATTTGAAATATACCACTAAAAAGGGGGGCAGTCATTGGAGGGCCACAATCACAATGGTGACCTCTCCTCATGCCCAAGGTCAGGTTAATGCCACACTTGTCACCCACTGAACCAACTGGGTGAACACATGGCAGGCAAATGTGTCCAAGGGCACTGTGTTATTTGCACCAGATAGATGCCTTTTTCACTGTTTTTAGTATTCACATGGCCTGTCAGGAAAGAGGGACAGCAAACACAATTTGCTCAGATTTGCTACGTGAATGTTACTGCTTTACGAATGCTCCAAGGTCTGGCCAGGTAAGGCTTAGGAAGCAATCCAGGCCAGATCTGATGTATCCTGCTGCCTTCCTCCCAGTTTTTACCTCTTCCTTACCCATTCCTTTGATCCAAGGAGGATTCAACTTAGTCAAAGGGAATGTGGTTGGTTGGCTCCAAGCAGCCTTTGCTTTTTTTTTTTTTTTTTATTTGAGAGAGAGAGAGAGTGAGAGAGAGAGCGCAAGAGGGGGTAGGGTTAGAGGGAGAAGCAGACTCCCCGCCGAGCAGGGAGCCTGATGTGGGACTTGATCCCGGGACTCCAGGATCATGACCTGAGCGGAAGGCAGTCGCCTAACCAACTGAGCCACCCAGGCGCCCCAGCCTTTGCTTTTAAACAGGTTCCCACCCTCGGGTATTTACTCAAAAGGGTAGTCAAATAATTAGCTAAAACAGAGCAATCACACTGATCAGTCAGGCAATTCTTAGACTAGTTCAAATCTCCAAAGAGGATTTAACAACAGTTCTAAAGAATTGAACCCAGGGGACGCCTGGGTGGCTGAGTCGGTTAAGCGTCTGCCTTTGGCTCAGGTCATGATCCCAGTGTCCTGGGATCGAGTCCCGCATCGGTCTCCCTGCTCTTTGGGGAGCCTGCTTCTCCCTCTGCCTGCTGCTTCCCCTGTTCATGCTCTTTCGCTCTTTCTCTGACAAATAAATAAATAAATCTTAAAAAAAAAAAAAGAATTGAACCGAGGTCTTCCAATGCAGAGAAGTAGGAATTGAGGTGAAAACTGCAAGGGAGGATAGAAAACAATTTTTAGAATAAAAATCTCTTCATTAAAATATACAAACAATGACAAGAACTGTCTACATGTTCATGAAAATCCTTCATTTCCTTTTGCAATGTAGATTCCTGGCAGAGTGTAAGGGCAATTGAACTACAATGTCCCAGTTTTCCAAATTAAGAAAATAAAATAATTGTTTCCCTAACCTTCAAATTCTACTTCTGAAGGCTAAACTTAAGCTTTAAGAATCACACACCAAAAGAGGGTACAGGTAAATCTCGTTAAATTTTTTTCATCTGCTGTCCTGGTTTCTCAGCTATATCAATCTTCCTAGAACTACTGTGGAAAGAAAATTTAAAGGACCAGTAAAAAAAGATAGTTCCATTGATAAGAAGCCCAGCTTATCAATGACATGCTAAAACCTGTAACCTCACTAATCATTTCAGCAGTGTGCCTCAATTGTTATATTTAATATACTCTTCATCCTTAAAAATTTAACAAGTACCAGGATGCCTGGATGGCTCAGTCAGTTAAACATCTGCTTTCGGCTCAGCTCATGATCCCACGGTCCGGTCCCGGGATGGAGCCCTGCATTGGGCTCCTTGCTCAGCGGGGAGCCTGCTACTCCCTCTGCCTGTCACTCCCCCTGCTTGTGTACACTCTTTCTCTCTCTCCCTCTGACAAATAAACAAAGTCTTAAAAAAAAAAAATTTAACAAGTACCAATCCTGTTTTCCATTTGAGAAACTTCAAATGGAAGGAAAACTGGAAAAAATATTTTTATTAACATAAAATGAGTGTAAGTGGAACTCCCCACCCTCCCCTTCATATATTTACTGATAACCACCTGACAGGGTGATAGTGATATAACGTGGTTAGGGAAGAAGGGGGGTAGGGTCTGCAGTTTCCTTTTTCTAGTGTTGACTTGTTTTCAGTGCTGACACAACCAACCCTAGAGGTTACTACTCAAAGAAAGCATAGACAACAGAAGTGGTTATTAGGGTGATTGAGAGAAGACTGAGAAACTGACCAATTGCCAGCAATTATTTTTCTAGATTCCTTCCAAATCGCTGATATTCATGAGGAAATAGCATAAACAATAGAATAATGCTATATTAATATATCCATATGGTATCTTTAAGAGTGATTCCAAGTATTTCATGTCCTGTAATTAGCTGAAGTCTGGAATGCCCTCTCTGGTTCTCCTACTGCTCATTTGTTACTGTGCCATTTGACAGTAACAGGAGAACCAGATCAATTCTTAGGAGGTTTGTTTATTCATGAAATAACATTTAAGGAATGAATACCCGCTTATCACATAAAAGAATCGAGTTATTTGCTTAATCTATAAGGAGATGCAATATGTTAAAATGCATGTATCCGGCCCTTGGAAACAGATTTTTCTAGGAATTTAAAAGGCCCACAAAATCTCTTAATGGTTTAAAAAAACAAAACAAAACAAAAAAACGGCGAAGCAGTTATAATTACACCATGGAGTTTTGCAATTGTTTCTTTTTTGTTTTCAGTCCTGATTTTAGAAACCAGAGTACAAAGAAGTGAATAATGAGTTTACAAAAACACTGTTCCCACCACCAAATAAATCAAACTGTTACTTAAATTAAAAAAAGGTAGAGCAATGAGGCGGTTCCAAGTTAATCGTGGAGATAATGACTGTTGAATTCCTTCACCGGAAAAACTTTCAACTCCCCGTCGCACCCTCCATCTGCCAGCCGTTCAAAGGATTCGTGGTGAAAGTATCCAACGTGAAGACAACAGGGCCAAGGCTCGAAGCTCAGGCTGCCTTCTTACTGGGAGGAGTAGTTCCCAGGAGGAGGAGAAAGATCTCCGCGGTTACACAGCCCTCCCACCCTAACTCTCCCACGTGGTACCTGCGGGTCATCTGTCTCCACCAACGCAGGGCTCCGCCACCAGCGTCGGGTGAGGCTGTGGTCCCGTCTCTCTCTTTTTTCTTTCTTTTCTTTTCTTTTTTTTTTTTTGCCCGGGGATGCCCAACAGAGCGAAGCCCACAGCCTGGGCACTGCCAACCAACTAATTTCCTGGATGGACTGTAATAACTTTCGAAGGATAAATTCTTCGTTGTTTCCCCTGCCCAAACCTGGCACGCGCCCGCCCATCCACCCGCCCCGTCCGGTGCGCTCTCCCGACTTCGAACCCGGGGCCGCGCGCGCGCACCGCACGTCTCCACCCTACCTCCCCCGGGGCCGCGCGCGCGCGCACACACACACCTGGGCCGCTCCAAGGGGGAGTTCTAAAGCAGTCGACCTCCTTTCCCAGCGCCCAGGTGTTGAGATCCACGTGCAGAAGGTGCGAGAAATAGCTCACTCGGAGCGGGAGGCAATGGGGGAGAAGAGATGCTGGTTTCAGAGTTAGCTCCCTCTGGAAGCCGAGTTCGGAGTGGCTAAGAGCACCAGGGCCTCCCAGGGTCCCCGCCGACGGCGGCACTCGGCACACTAGGCTGAGGCGCGCGCCCAGGTCTTCGCGACCCCAGCCCCGAGGAGGCGGGGCAAGCCGCGGGGAGCCGGCCCTTGCACGCAGCTCGGAGCCCCGCCTCCCAGCCCGGCGCGCGGCCTCGCGGCGCAGAGGACGAAAGACACGCCCCGCCCCCTTCCCGGCCGGCCAATGGGTTTCCGGGCCGCGCACCGTGTGTCCCCGCCTCCACCAGGGAAACTTGGAGCAGGAGAAAAGTTTGTACAGAGGCTGGAAGGGCGAGAGCGGAGCTCGAAACCCGGCAGCCAAGAGGAAGAAGATGAAAGATCCCAGGTCAGAGCCTCAGGCCGAGCGGACCTTAAACCGCCCCCGGGGCGTCGGAAGCAGCCTCAGTGGCAGCCGCCAGCCCCGATAGCCGCCCGTGCTGCCCAGGGCTGAGGAGGAGGGCGGCCCGAATCCGGGACTGAGGCTCCGTGCCACCTGCGCGCGCGGCCCCACACCTGCGCGCTGTCCGCCCGGGGACCGGACCTGCGGGCTCCTCAAAGTTTGGTCCCGTCTTTGAAGGTACGGAAGAAAAAAAGAAGAAGAAGAAAGAAAAAGAAAAGAAAGAAAGAAAGAAATCAATCCAAGATCAGGTTGCATTGACCCATCCCGCTACCCTTCTGGTTCTGCCAGGTGTTCGAAAGCTTGCCATTCTGACCCCAGTTCCGGAAAATTGGCAGCCGCAGAGACCCGGCTCTGAGAAGACAAAGGCTTGGCAAGCTCCACACTGAGCGGGCGAGACTGAGGGCAGGTTGGAGGCGTGTGGTGGACATCTGAGTCTTGACCCTGGGGTCCTCCGCGGCCGCCACCGCCGCGGCTCCCACAGGTAAGATGAGGGTTTGGGGGCACTGGGCCGAGAGCGGTGGGCGGGCGCTCCTCGAGCGGAGCCCGGGAGGAGCGAGTGCGCTTTCCAAATTGCCTTCCGTAACTTGTTTTGAGTGAGGATTTTATTGACTCAGAATCTGTCGGGAATAAGAGCGAACCACTCACTTATCCCTAGAGATAGGTCTTGTTCATTTTGGCAGTGGAGACAGTTGGGCTGGGGGAGGAGGAAAGAATGGCAGTATCAACTGACAAATACCAATGGCAGGAGAGTGGTGCTTCTGGCAGGACGTATCCGGAGCCTGGCGATTTCGGTAGCTACAATCCACGATGCAGGATCCAGTTATTCCTCTTGTCTCATCAGCATATTGTTTCTTGGGCGCGGGTCTGACACCTTGCAAGTGGTCGTTTCCGCTCACCGGGCCTTTGTCTTTCCTACCATCCCCAGACCCAGCCTCGAACTCCAAGGCTGCGTACCGAGGGCCACCACCATGTCCACTCCTGGGGTCAATGCGTCCGCCTCCTCTACCCCTGACCGTCCGAACAGCCCGGTGACCATCCCGGCGGTGATGTTCATCTTCGGGGTAGTGGGCAACCTGGTGGCCATCGTGGTGCTGTGCAAGTCGCGCAAGGAGCAGAAGGAGACGACCTTCTATACGTTGGTGTGCGGGCTGGCCGTCACCGACCTGCTGGGCACGTTGCTGGTGAGCCCGGTGACCATCGCCACGTACATGAAGGGCCAGTGGCCCGGAGGCGAAGCACTCTGCGAGTACAGCACCTTCATCCTGCTCTTCTTCAGCCTGTCCGGCCTCAGCATCATCTGTGCCATGAGTATCGAGCGCTACCTGGCCATCAACCACGCCTACTTCTACAGCCACTACGTGGACAAGCGGCTGGCCGGCCTCACGCTCGTCGCGGTCTATGCGTCCAACGTGCTCTTCTGCGCGCTGCCCAACATGGGCCTGGGCAGCTCGCGGCTGCAGTACCCGGACACCTGGTGCTTCATTGACTGGACCACCAACGTGACGGCGCACGCCGCCTTCTCCTACATGTACGCGGGCTTCAGCTCCTTCCTCATTCTCGCCACCGTGCTCTGCAACGTGCTGGTGTGCGGTGCGCTGCTCCGCATGCACCGCCAGTTCATGCGCCGCACCTCGCTGGGCACCGAGCAGCACCACGCGGCGGGCCCCGTCGCGGTGCCCTGGGCCCACTGCCGGAGCAACCCGACCGCCGCCTCCCCCGCCCTGCCGCGCCTCAGCGACTTTCGCCGCCGCCGGAGTTTCCGCGGAATAGCGGGCGCCGAGATCCAGATGGTCATCTTACTCATCGCCACCTCCCTGGTGGTGCTCATCTGCTCCATCCCGCTCGTGGTGAGTGGCTTCCCGGGAAGGGGGCCCTTCTGGGCCCTTTCCCCACATCCACCCCTCTTCTCCGTCTACCGCTTCCTCTATTCCCTCTTGTGCCTTGACGGTGAACTTGTCCTCCAGGTCCAGGCTGGGCTTTCGACACTCGGCTTCTCACAGAGCAGGCCAACCTCCCCAGCGAGATGTAGCAGGTGCTTTTCTCCTAGGCCCCCGAGTTTCTTTCTCCGAAAGCCTGGTTTCCTTTCTCTCCCGGGACAGCCCCTACCCCTTGCTGCCTGACATTGGCCTTGAGCCTTCCGAGAACACCTGCCACTCTGTCAGATGTGGAGGGGAAACCGCTGTAGTGTGACTTAAGTCCTCCACAGTGAACCGCAGAAGCCCGAAACCTCCGGGTGGTGATCTCTTTGTTATACACCATTCCTTAGGGCAGTGGGTTTTCGGTGCTTTGATTTAGGCATGGGTTTTTTTTTTTCCTTTTGGTTTGTTTGTTTGTTTTGATAGATTATGTAGCAGTTTAGAGCTAGAGAGATTGGATGCGTTTTGGTCTAGTCTGACGCCCTCACATGACACAGGGCGTGACTTGCTTAAAATAATCTAGCAGAACTACACTGTCAGGCTAGGTTCCCTGCTCTTTACCATGCTGTGTGCACTGCAGGTGGGGGTCACAGTTCCTACTAGGGCACCGCCCAGAGTCAGGTTCCTTCATTCTTTCTTGGGACCAGGAAAGCCAGGATTCTCAAGGGGCCTGTGAAGGGCCGGCTGATGTACTTATTGAATTTGCATTCTCAACAACTGTGAGAGGTACTGTGCCACTCTAAAGAAAGGAAGCTTTAGAGATGGTGATCTAGTTACTGCCAAGCCAAAACCCTGCAGCTTGTGATGAACCTCAGACCCACCTGACTCCAAACCCTGTTCACATAATATTACATCATGTCTCACTCCTAGAACATTTCTAATTTTGGCCTTCGTACAGTGTGTGCATTTGAGTTTTGGCACACTTCACTTTTAGGACACCGCCTTCTTTAAAATTGCCTTTGGATTAGCTCTTAAAATGTTATAAGCAGAAAGGCTGAAAACGCACCTAGTTCTCTACTTTGCCTGTCATTAAACCAGAATGCACCAGAAACTGATGGGCTTATGCGCATAACACCTTCTCCAGAGTTTCTCTTGAAAGCAACAGGTTCTGAGTTGTTCCATCTTTCAAAACACTGTATTTCTAGAAATTCTAAACTACCAACTCAAAAAGAGAGGACTTTTCTTTCTTCTGCTGATTGGGAACAAGAGAAAATAAATGTAATGAGCTATTCTTCCTTTCTTTCTCTTATTAATATGGTCCAGGGATCTTTCATATAAAAATATTGTATCTCTGATAAAAGTGAGTGTAAATGAAAGGAACTTAGATGAGAGCCAGCATACAGTAGCTTCTTGACAATTTGTATAAACAGAAATAAATATAATTGGCCAGAACGGCCTTTAAACCATTCCAGGATCCAATATAATTTACCGAGTTAAGTCACACTTGAGCCACATAAATATATTTTACTGTCTGTAATGGCAACTCAGAATACAGTGAGATTTTGGAAGAAACAACCCTGCTCCTCCTAGGGCTCCTTTCTCTGGCTGCACCTTATGTTTTACAGAACAGTAAATGACAAAGTGAGAGGCTGTTATGTACAGAAGAACATCCACTTTAAGGAACTAGCATTACAGCTAGTTCAGCAACATGCACATACTTCTAAAATATGAAGGTAAGCATATGAAGCTGTTGATGATTGATTGCACAGTGACAGGTGAATTGTTTTCTTGGAGCATCTAGAGAGGCATAAAAAACTTCATTCATTTTATGGGCTGAAGTGGACCTGCCCCTGTGGTATGGGGCCATTTATCACAAAGCTTTTGAAGTTATTTGAGAAGCTAGAGGCAAGAAACTATAGGAGCTATACTTGTAGTCTGCAAATTAGCCACATTTTAACTAACAAATACTATCCACTATTATATAAAGTCAGTAACGTACAGTAGATACTAAGTAATTTTACTCTGAAAATTGAAACTGGCTCAGCTAAGAAGTAATCATAGTAAAGTACTCATGTGCCTTTGTAAGTAATAAGGAATCATACAAGTAATAGTAGCTTCAGTGTTTAGCCTTTAGTTCTGGCTACCAGACTCTAATTTCAGAATCAATTTAGTTGTAAATTAATGATAATCAAGGAGGTCATTATACTACCCACCCACCCACAGTTTGGCTGTTACTGAAAGAGTTAAAAGGGGAATTTACCCATAACTATAGTCTTCCTTGGCTTACTTTTAGGAGTTTCTTGTATTTTAATGTTTCTCATATTCAGATTGTAACTTTAAGTTGAAAGTTTCTGAACCCTGACATTTAAAGCAGTCGGACCTATCTGCAGTTCCAAGGAAACTAATGAAGCGCGTTTTTTACCTTTATCAAATCAAGTTGGTTGCTAATCCTATTTGAGGAAAATCAAATCCTTCAAAACACTTAAAATGCTTCCGAAAGGCTAATAGAGCAAATAGAGTTTCCTTGGAGTTTCAGAAAGCTTGACACATTGTATAAGGTTAACAAGCAGCCAAATTTTGTCTTTTGGACACCAGGGAAGAAAAACTACAGTGGCTCTTACAGGGCACTTGATACTGAGTTTCATAGAAAAAAGTAAATTTTAATTTGTTATCCAAAACACATGTCTCATAAATAGAGCTTGGAATGGAAATTTGAGAAAGCTTGGGAAATTAATCATGGATATAAGAAACTGTGCTAAACTTGAGAAATTTTCTAAAATGAACAGAGAAGGTTCATAAGTACATTTGACAAGGAACATTACATGA